CCTGATCTCGTTGTGTCTCAAACCAAATTACCGCCGCCTCCCGGAGGTATGCAACCCGGGGGTCGAGAACCAGCCCTTTCGAACCAGTATCGGCCAAATGCAGACAATATGACCACAAATGGGACAAATGGCGATCATTTAGCGTCTAATTTGCCTGAAGACCGACTCTTCCAAAAGCTTGAAAAGGCATCGAAAGAAGATATGGTCACTAAATATTTCCGACCGATGAGAAGGGATCAACTGTTAAGTAAAGTGAATACTTCACTAAACAAAGTGAAGTTAAGTGAGTAAATGATTTGCTGGCGTTTTGTAAATATTACTTCTTTAGATTTTCCAGTAAACAAAACGTTGAGATGCTTTGAATTGAGCGATAAAACTAATAAAGCATTGAATGAAACGAATTCAGTCATCGATTTGACTCTAAATAACAATCAAACCAATGAAAGGATTAACAGTTCGGAGATTAATTCCCGACAAAAATACAGTAAATCTGTGCCTTTGACCGCAAACTATAATACCGACGACTCTATGCTTTCTGCCACCAGTGGGTCCATGAGTGCGGGTGAAAGTCCTCGCAGACAATACCCCCATAGACTCGATAGACTCGATGTAATGCCTCATTTCAATATAGGTTTGTTAACACTTATTAATCATCAATTTAGTAATTTAAATTGTTATTTGTAAATTTTAACAACAATTATCGCAATTTTTACATTGCATATTTTTTTGTGTCTACTATGTTATATTTGATTTAATAATTATAAAATTAACTAATAAAAGGAGATTAATGAATTTATCATTAGTGATTTATTAATAAAACAATATTCTTTCATGCAGTATGGTGATTTTTTAAAAATTGCATTTAATATCTCCATGTTTTGGTTTAAATTCATTCATTTAATGATAATTTCAGTAATTATATATTAATATTAAATAAATATTAATTTGTTTGAATACAAGCTTTCTCTATTCAACGTTAAAATTATTTGAGTCTATAAATAATAAGATATTGTAATTTAGATCTGAAAGTTAAATAACAAATTGTTAAGTTTAATATTCTTGATTCATTAGTATAACAAATATGAATAATGATATGAAAAAATCTTGTGTGTTATATGTTATATCTTGTGTCTATTATATGTTATTATATAATAATATTAATTAATAATTATTTATTACAGTAAAACTTGGAAATCAGTAACCATTATAAAATGGTTACATAATTTTAAGTATATTTTTAATAGCAATCTTGCTTACAAAACACATTTAATTAAGTGAGTGCTGTAAACATAAAAACTAGTTATATTATAGTAATATTATATACTGTATACTTAATAATATTTCTAGTTATAAATTATAATAAATTTTTGATATAATTTAAAATATATAATTTATTTAACAATAGATTCGTCGGAAATCTCTGATATTAAGGTTGGAAATCACTTGTCGAGCGCTAACACGAGGAATCATTATCTAAATACTATTAAAAGTTAATCACCTGTTGATAACTAACATCACAACTAATATTACATACTATAGAGTGTTATAACTTTTAAATACTTAATAAGCAATTGTTATCACAGATTGATATAATTTTATGGTTGAATTAAAGTAATTTTAATACTTTTTATATAAATTATTTGGTTTTAAATAAACTATAAATTATTATTTGTTGAAATGTATCAATAAATGCCAAAATTACAAATATTTAATAAAACTGTTTTTATCGACAAATATTATATTTTGAAATTAATTACTAGTAAATAATAAGAAGTATTGATAGATTAGGAGAGAGAGAGAGAGAGAGAGAGAGAGAGAGAGAGAGA